ACACTTAAAGCATTAGGCTCATGATGAGGGAGTGGTACCGTGATGAGTATGGTATTGCTGTACAGTGTACACTTAAAGCATTAGGCTCATGATGAGGGAGTGGTACCGTGATGAGTATGGTATTGCTGTACAGTGTACACTTAAAGCATTAGGCTTATGATGAGAGAGTGGTAATGTGTACAGTATCGCTGTACATGTGAACCATTTGAAAAGACATTTTATCTCCTCTGAAGGTGCAGGCTGGTTCACAAAGTAACTGCTCTTACGCAGGACTGGGAAATCACTTACTGTGCATTTCTACAGCTGTGACTGGGGACTGGTAATCTGATCACCCCCAGGGGTGCTATAATACAGGCACATAGTAAAATTTCAGGTTTGTACCCCCTGAAATTTATTTGGTCTGAGATTTGCTCCCTCCTCCAAACTGGTAAAATCTATCAGGAGGCACCTACCTGGACCCCACCCCAAAATGTATTTCTGCTTATGGGCCTGATATATTAAGCTAAAATAAACTTTTTTATTTTTAAATACAGGTCCGTTTTTAAAATCGGTCTGTTTGCTTTTATCAGCGCATCAATCCGATCTTTACAAGTTTTAACAGGTCTGTTTCGTTTTGTTGTGTTCTGAGTTTTCCATCGAGTTGTGGCTAGATTGTTCTCGACCGTCCCGTTCGAGGTCCGCATTGGTAGAGTTGAACACTTCTTGACCCATACAAGTTTTAGCAGGAACGGTCGTGTTCCAAGATTTCAGTTGAGGTACAAGTCAAAAGTCAAAATAAATTCGACAGACCCATCGATGTCAGAGTTGGTGGAATTGAGGCACTTGAGTTCCAGGGTTCTACTGTATTTGGTGACCCATGCACTATTATGACAGCAAACTTAGTCACTTTTACAAATGGTATTTAACCAAACTTGGAACCCCACGCCCCCTGCAGGTGTGACACCAGTACGGCCGGCGCTCCCAGTGCTGCCCCAGGTCGGCCTGGTGAACCCAGTGCTGGCCTCGCCGCCCGTGCTGGCCACGGCGCCGGCTGCCGCCCAGGAAGCCAAGAAGGAGGAGGAGGAGCAGGCGTCCCAGGATGGGGCAGCCCAGGAGATGCTGAGCGAGCAGGAGCACATGAGCATCTCGGGCAGCAGTGCCAGACACATGGTAATGCAGAAGCTGCTGCGAAAACAAGAGGTGGGTGTGGGAGACGCACCCAGCCGCTCTCACCAGGTACTGATACTTAGGCCGTACCTGGGAGCGATGCTGACGCTGGTGTGCCAACAGGGGGCAACTCATTCTGCTCTTCATGTCTCTCTATGAAGATATTCCACTGCATTTATTTAGAGGTTGTTTACGCTGTTCACCTGTGTGGGTACCTAAGAGAAACACTCCTGATACTCTCCCTCCATGCCTACAGTCTACCGTAATGGTTCTGCGGAACATGGTGGGGCCCGAGGATATCGACGACGACCTGGAAGGTGAGGTCACAGAGGAGTGCGGCAAGTTTGGCACGGTCAACAGGGTCATCATCTACCAGGAGAAGCAGGGCGAGGAGGAGGATGCCGAGATCATCGTCAAGATCTTTGTGGAGTTCTCCATGGCTTCCGAGATGAACAAGGCCATCCAGGCACTCAACAACCGCTGGTTTGCTGGTCGTAAGGTCGTCGCTGAGGTGTATGACCAGGAGCGCTTCAACAACAGTGACCTTTCTGCATAGGACTCTGCGCCGCCTTGTCCCCCACACCCACTGCGATCAGTCATGCACGGCCCCCGCCTCTGCCACTAGTGACCTGGGCCTCTTTTAAACTTGTAATTACTTTTTTATTGATGTTGATATTAATATTATTAACCATCCCTTTTGGGGATTTTGGAAAAGCCTCATGGAAGCCCCCCCCCCCCCCAAATTCTCCTGTCACCTGCTGTAAAAGACTCAATTTTTTTTGTTTTTTTGTTTTTCTTTTTGCTATTCGAAAACGTCATAAGCTGGTTATCGTTCATTTGCGATTATTTTTTTTTTTATGATGACCAAAGGTGGCTCCTGTAAGGACTTGAATACCTTGCTCCAGAGCTATTGGTACCAGTTGCCCAGAACAATAAATTCTTCAAATATGAAACTTTGCAGTGTTGTATCTGTATTGTTCAATATTTAACATGAAATAGAATTGTCTAGTAAACTCTTAAATATTCATACGAGGCAGAAATGTAAAGCGCATTGAGACAATGTAATGTTGTGATAATGCGCTATATAAATAAAATTGAATTGAATAACATAAATATACATAAATACAGAAATTTGTAAATTTACAATATGGGTTAATTGTTAGCTGCTCTTCCGTACATGTAATACAAAGCTTGAAGATGATCTTTGCTTTGCTCATTGAGGGCTTTGGTGCTGACCTGTTCTCATCTGGTACCCCTAACATAACTCTTATGTGCTTTTTGGGTACCAGGACTGGTCAACCAAGAAAGAATCAAACCCAGTGGAGTAACTTTTGTTGAGAGGGGACCTTGGTATTTGTGATCCTAAGATTTTCTACTCCCTGTTTGTGTATGTCACCTGTCATCCAGATGAGGAGGATGAGTGAGTATGTGATTTTGTGTTGGGTTTTTTTTCATCATTTATTATTGTCACCATGGGTTTCTGGGCCTTCTGGGGAAGCAACGTCTTGTTTTCTGACCGCAGGCCGTATCGAAACAGGTAACACCTATAACCAGCAGGGTGCGCCACCGCACCGTGGGTGGGATATGCAACAGCCTGCAAATGGCCTCCGAAGCCTTAGGGGTCGCTGTCGTTTTGCCGGCCACTTTATATCGCATGCAGGGGGGCGGTTAAAAGGAAAGTAATAGTCCACAGCGACGAGGCGGTGCTGGTAAGCGGCGGCAGACCCCCTCCTCCTTTAGTTGTTTGCTGTGCGCCCCTGGGTGCGAACACTGGAAACTCCCTCCCCGGCTGAACGGAAAGCAGGCGCCCCTCGTCGGCTGCTCGCTGGCTGCATGAGAAAGAGACGTGCAGGGAGGTACGGAGCTTTTCCCGAGAAGCAGACGAGCGGAGAGACAGGCACAGCTGGCTGGTCCCTTTGGTCCCGGCCTGGCGCTAGGAGAGGGGCGAGGCTCCATTTGGACGGGATTTTGCTTGTAATTGATTTCTACCCCAGCTTGCGAATTGAAAGGGCGCCTGTATCGTATCGGCCCCCGAGCCCAAAGTACCTACTGTGTACCGAGCCCAGCGACGGGAAGTCCGGGCTGGCCACCGGCACCAGCGCCGAGCCGTGAACGGGGCATGGCTGCGGGTTACGATGAAAGGGGGATCGTCCGCCGCAGTCTCTGCCTTACATCTCCCTAAGGAGCGGGGCGATTGAACAAGTCATCTAGGCGACCTTACAAAGGAAAGCGGTTTTTAATAATAGTTATTAGTATTTTATTATAATTGCACGGAACTTCTAGTTTCCCGGACAAGCCACCAGCTTAAAAAGTAGAGCTCTGTTCATATTCTAACGATTGTTTTAAAGTTATTTAGCTCGTTTCTTTTAATGTACTAACTTAGTTACTTGCACAGAGGAAAAAAAAAAAGAAGCGTGGGGGAGTGAAAAAAATCACTTTTTATTTAATGTAACATAGCTGTGAAAACTGCCGTTTGATGGATTGCAGTATTTTAAAGGAAAGCTTAGATGAAAACCAGAGCTGCTGAAGACAACACCCGGGAATATTGCTTTTTATACATTTTTTATTTCTCCCTGGATTAATCTGCCTTTTTGAGATTTCTTCTACCCGTTGGATTTTGTGCGTTTTCCACATTTTTTTTCTCCTGTACCGTTGCTTGTGGATATTGTCTTCTCCCCCATCTGCCCCTCCATTTCCCCCCTCCCACACACGTTACACCCCCATCGCCCCCACCTGCCCCCACCCGGTCACCCTGTCCGATGCGGAGTACCTGAGCGGCCCCAGCGCCCTTAGCCCTGCCGGACATGCTGAAGTGCATCCCGCTGTGGCGCTGTAACCGCCACGTAGAGTCGGTGGACAAGCGGCACTGCTCCCTGCAGACGGTCCCCGAGGAGATATTCCGCTATAGCCGCAGCTTGGAGGAGCTGCTGCTCGATGCCAACCAGCTCCGGGAGCTGCCCAAGGTAAGCCGGCGCAAGCAGGGAGCCGGCCCATGCCATCTACCGGAGCGTAGATGGCATGGGCCGAGGGGTAGGGGAAACTGGTAAAATGTTTATGCAAAATATTATTAAAGTATCAAAATAATTTAGATTTAAAAGCAGTGTCACTTTTGGAGAAACGTTACTCACACCCTTAATCAGCGCATTTGATCTACCCTGGTTAGCTCTAGATACTCGTTAAAAAAAAAATAGCACAATAAAACCTGAAGGTGCGGAGACCGTTGGGTTGTGGGATTCTGTTCTGTGTGATGCGATGGGTCGCTGGGGCTTGGGGCACCCAGGAATACAAAGGATCAAATTATAGATGGAGAGGGGGAAGTAAGTGCTGAGCAAAGACCACCTTCTCCATTTTAAAACATGCGTCGTTTATTGTTGCAGTTTTCAAACCGAAAATACCAACACCTTCATTTGATTAGTCCGCCTTGACACTTTGTGTTTTCTCACAGCTTATATTCGCTGTCCTGTGTGTTGTATTAACTGGATCCGTTTGCTGTATCCATGAAAGCATGCGATCTTAACACGGATAGGGGAAAACACGATTATATTTAATTTCCCAGATCATAACATTTTCGTCAAAGGGAGGGGGGTCGATGCATTCCTTCTTTAAATGCATGTATTGGGCGCGTTGTCCAACCGGCTTTACAACTGGCGGTTTTAATTGAAACCGGCAGACATTATTGGTAGGGGTGAACCCAGCGGAAAACCGCCAACTATGAAGACGCATGAGATCGCTTCATCCCGTAGAGAAGGGCGACAGCAAAGCGTCCTTTTGTTGTTTACTTTCGGGGGGGGCTCCCCCCCCCCCCCCGAACGGAGCGTCTTTGTCCCGGTCCCCTGCATGCGGTTGTACAGAGACCATGAAGCGGGGTCGTTGGCGACTGCCCTGGCGACCCCTTACGTCTGCCGGCTAGAAATGTTGCCGTTTTAATGAGAAAAAAAGATGGAGGTACTTTAGATAATGCTGTCGTGCCATTCTGGGATTAGACATAGGAATTTGTTTGTACAAAGTGTGCAGCGTTTGTCCTCTGCCTTTTTTTTTTTGTCTCCTGCCCCCCCCCCCTTCGCGTATGACTTGGCCGCTATCAGCCGGTTTTGCCGGCGCCGACACAACGCGCTGTTTTTACCAGCGCACTGACGCGCGCTTGTTTTATATTAAATCCCCCGCCCTGGGCACAGTCCGCACCGGTGCCTGGACGGTGTGCACCGTCCAGATGTAAAATGGGTCCCTCCTCAGCTTCTGGCGTTTTCACTAGACCCGACAGACCGCCACATACCAGCCGCCGGGCTGTGAGGCTATCCGCTGCGTTGTCCAGATGCAGAGAGTGATATAATCTGATATAACCTAAGATATGTCTATTTAAAGTATGAGGTACGTTACGTTAAAATGTCATTGACAAACATGTTCTTTCATTTCATTCGTCTGTTAACCTATAGGCAAGGGCATCCATATTTCATATTTGTTTGCATTTGTATGTCTTACTTTCTCTTTTGGAACCATGTATTTTCTACTTTCCCCTCATCTTTTGTTGTTATAGTTCATTTCTTCTCTGTTTATTTTGGTTTATTTTCATGGCATCCTGTTTTATTCTTTATTTTAACGAACATTGCCAGGAGATGACTCCAATACGCAGCACTTCCTAAAATCAGACACCGTCTGGTAGCCTCATGAGAATGATGGCCTGTTTCCACTCCAGCCTCTGGTGCCTCGTGAATCTTCCTGGTTATCAGATTGTGAAGTGACATTTCTGGACAGAGAAGTGATAAGTTGAATCAAGTGTTTTGGGTCAGTTTTTGCTCCTGTGGATGTGCTTACCTACTGGTACCTGGATGAGATGAACATGAGCTCTTGGCGTGTCTTTCTGTCAATCTTATGAAAGAGACGGCAGCTATGAGACCTCCCCTAACGTGTCAGCTGGCACTCGTTAATTTCCCTTCTCATGGGGCTCGTGTTTCTGGAGGAACCTGTGGGCTTTAAACAGAAGTGTCTCATACGGAGTATAATGCAGTGTGCTGGAAGTCGGCTGACCCTCGTTTCCAGTGAAAATGGGGCACTAATTAAGACGTATGTCAGCCTGTAGGAGGCCAAACTTCTGCTCGAAAGGATAACATTTGCGATTTGCGTAATCTGAGCTCAGCCAGAATGTATTGTGACTTGGGTGGGGGTGGTTGACAGAATGTCACATAGATGACATGGGCACTGAGCAGTTACCAAAGACGGCCGGGTAGCTGGACTCCCCGCTGGTGTCTCAAAGCTCTCCAGTCCCTGTTGCTTCTCCTCATTCATTCCGATAACAGTATATCTCAGGCGATGGCATTAAGCTGGGTCTTCTCGGGGGTTCATGTGTTCTGCTGGTGCCTTAATGCTAATCCAGGGTCTCCTGTCCCTCACCTTAAACGTTTGTTTTGGTAACTGTGTGCCTTCTCAGTGACTCATGCTCCTGGGGTCTGCTGGATTGCACCATGCAATGTGAGTGGAGCCTTGCTAGTGAGATATACATCAAAGTGGTGCGTTATAGTCTTTGCTTTATTTAGAACTTAGGAAACCGCTATTTTGGTTTTGCTTCAGTTACGGATTCAGTTTGAACTCTAGCCCCTCGCACCTATTTCCTCCAGACGTCCTTCAGACCTTTTAAAACTGTGGCAAAATGGTAGACACTGTACGATCACACCTCCAAGGTTGCGGGTTTGAATACTACTCTCGACTCTGCATGTGGAGTTTGCTGGCTGGGTGAAGTGGTGCGTGTGTGATCCAGAGGACTGCCAGTGTGTCGCCTGACTCGTGCCCTGTGCTTCCTGGCAAAGGCTCCATGCTCACTGTGCCCAGATACTGGATAAGTGGCGTGTCAGATGGTTGGATGGTTCAGGCTGTTTCCAGACTTTGGGACCCTATCACTCAGGCTATTGACAGCTTTCATCAAAGAGATAACCAGCAAAACATCACCACTTCTCAAAGT